GTCCTCAGCTCTTCCATGAAAGCATGTGCAGAATGCAGAGCTGCCCTGGGCCAGCTTCCTGAAAAGGCAGCAGCAATTGTCAGTCTCCAGGTTTGTGCTGAGCATATTCTGAAGGCCCAGTGGTACACAAGGAGCTCATCTGGGGTGAACTAGGCACAAAATGAGGAAGAGTAAACGTGTAAAGAGCAGGGCATCATCAGCTAAGATATGTGGAAGAAGTAGTACAGGAATGTGAAAAACAGGACTCAGCCAAGAAATGAATATAGTGAGTGCTTTGGGAGCACCACTAAGCCACGGTGGGCATGAGCAGAGGAAGCTTCAGACAGGAGATCCAACCTCAACACCCGGTGAGAGATGTGTAAGGTCTGGAAGAAGAGAATAATATCAGGGCTGTACCCATTTGTTGTTTACAGAACATCTTGTAACTGTTCATCCTTCAGCTGAGCTAGATGGTTACAGATCCCAGCTCTCCTCTTTTCTGCCTTGGCACAGCACCAGTATAGTAATAGTAATAACTACTTCCGTAATCATTCAGCATATATTTCTAGAGTACCTGCCCTGCGTCAGGCACTGTGCTAGGTTCTGAGCATACAATAGTAAACAAGACAAATTCCCTGTCTTCATGGAACACAAAGAGTAAACAAAATATTTACAGATTGTGATGAGTAGTAGTGTTCTGAAAAGAACAGGGTCTCTCTGAGGAGGTGGTGTTTAAGCTGAAAGATGGCGGTCATGGTGGTGCTTGCTGGGCACTGTTCAAAGCACCTTGTATTAAGGTGCTATTCAGCAACCTAATGAGGTACATGTTTTATCCAGTGTAGGAGGGTTCCCGTTTCTCTGCATCCTGGCCAACACCTGTCGTTTCCTGACTTAACAATTTTAGCCATTCTGACTGGTGTGAGGTGGTATCTCACTGTGGTTTTGATTTATATTTCTCTAATGCCGAGTGATGTTGAGCACTTTTTCATGTGTTTGTTGGCCATCTGGATGTCTTCTGTGGCAAAATATCTGTTCAGATCCTCTGCCCATTTCTTGATTGGATTATTTATTCTTTGGGTGTTGAGTTTGATAAATTTTTTATAGATTTTGGATACTAGCCCTTTATCTGTTACATCATTTGCAAATATCTTCTCCCATTCTATTGGTTGTCTTTTGGTTTGTTGACTGTTTCCTTTGCTGTGCAAAAAAAGCTTTTGATCTTGATTAAATCCCAGTAGTTCATTTTTGCCCTTGCTTCCCTTGTCTTTGGTGATGTTTCTAGGAAGAAGTTGCTGCAGCTGAGGTCGAAGACGTTGCTGCCTGTGTTCTCCTCAAGGATTTTGATGGATTCCTATCTCACATTGATGTCTTTAATCTATTTTGGGTCTATTTTTGTGTGTGGTGTAAGGAAATGGTCCAGTTTCATTCTTCTGCATGCGGCTTTCCAATTTTCCCAACACCATTTGTTGAAGAGGCTGTTTTTTTCCATTGGACATTCTTTCCTGCTTTGTCAAAGATTAGTTGACCACAGAATTCAGGCTCTCTGTTCTCTTCCACTGATCTGTGTCTGTTTTTGTGAAAGTGCCATACTGTCTTGATGATTACAGCTTTGTAACAGAGCTGCTTAAAGTCTGGAATTGTGATGCCGCCAACTTCGGTTTTCTTTTTCAACATTCCTCTGGCTATTTGGGGTCTTTTCTGGTTCCCTATAAATTTTAGGATTATTTGTTCCATTTCTTTGGAAAACATTGATGGTATTTTGATAGGGATGGTGTTAAATGTGTAATTGCTTTAGGTAGCATATACACTATATATATTTCACAATATTTGTTCTTCCAAACCATGAGCATGGAATGTTTTTCAATTTCTTTCATGAGTACTCTATAGATTTCTGAGTACAGATTGTTTGCCTTTTTGGTTAGGTTTATTCCTAGGTATCTTATGGTTTGGGGTGCAATTGTAAATGGGATCGACTCCTTAATTTCTCTTTCTTCTGTCTTGCTGTTGGTGTATAGAAATGCAACTGATTTCTGTGCATTGATTTTATATTCTGACACTTTGCTGAATTTCTATATGAGTTCTTACAGTTTTGGAGTGGAGTCTTTTGGGGTTTCCACATGAAGTATCATATCATCTGCAAAGAGTGAGAATTTGACTTCTTTGCCGAATTGGATGCCTTTTATTTCTTTTTGTTGTCTGATTGCTGAGGCTAGGACTTCTAGTACTATGTTGAATAGCAGTAATGACAGTGGACAGTCCTGCCAGTTCCTGACCTTCGGGGAAAAGCTCTTAGTTTTTCCCCATTGGGAATGATATTCACTGTGGGTTTTTCATAGATGGCTTTTATGATATTGAGGTATGTACCCTCTATCCCTACACTGTGAAGAGCTTTGATCAAGAATGGATGCTGTACTTTGTCAAATGCTTTTTTAACATCTATTGAGAGTATCATATGGTTCTTGTTCTTTCTTTTATTAATGTATTATATCACATTGATTGATTTGCACGATGTTGAACCAACCATGCAGCCAGGAGTAAATCCCACTTGGTCATGGCGAATAATCCTTTTAATGTACTATTGGATCCTATTGGCTAGTACTTTGGTGAGAATTTTTGCATCCATGTTCATCAGGGATATTGGTCTGTAATTTTCCTTTTTAATAGGGTCTTTCTCTGGTTTGGGGATCCAAGGTAATGCTGACCTCATAAAATGAGTTTGGAAGTTTTCCTTCCATTTCTATTTTTTGGAACAGTTTTGGGAGAAAAGGTATTAATTCTTCTTTAAATGTTTGGTAGAATTCCCCTGGGTAGCCATCTGGCCCTGGGCTTGTTTGTTAGGAGATTTTTGATTACTTCAATTTCCTTGTTGGTTATGGGTCTGTTCAGGTTTTCTATTTCTTCCTGGTTCAGTTTTGGCAGTTTATATGTCCCTAGGAATGCATCCATTTCTTCCAGATTGTCTGTCTCTGGCACACAGCCCTATTTGGAGTCTCCAAACCCAGCCAATTTCTGCAGCACGCTCCCGCACCCCTCCTTCTGGGGAGGAAGGGGGTGGGTCTCTCTGGACCTGCCACTTGTGGGGTCCCTGCTCAAAGAGCAGTGACCCGACTGTGCTGGGAATCATGGTTTATGGCAACCCTGAGCTGAGAGCCCACTCCTCAGCTCCATCTTTGCAGCCAGCTTACCCACTCCAACACCCGGGAGCTCTGCCGCACTCATGTACCCCTGGTCTTTCTGTGGCCCCAAGGGACCTGAGACCACATTGTCTCAGCAAGGGCTCCACTCCCCACTTAGCCTCTGGAGCAGCATCCCTCAGTGGAGTAGACCTATAAAAGTTGCGACTGTGCTCCTCTGTTCTATTGCTTGCCAGGAGCTGGCCCCTCCCCACCACGATCTGTCTTCCCATATATCGCCTCAGATTCACTTCTCTGAACATCCTACCTTCCAGAAAGTGGTCACTTTTCTATTCCTAGAATTGCTGCTATTCTTTTCTTCGATATCTTTTTGAGTTCATAGGTGTTCAGAATGGTTTGATAATTATCTAGCTGAATTCCTGGGACCCAACGAAATTTAGGTCTCCTACTCCTCCGCCATGTTGCTCCTCCTTCCCACTTAAATATATTTTATTTCATTTTATTTATTTATTTGACAGAGATCACAAATAGGCAGAGAGGCAGGCAGAGAGAGAGAGGAGGAAGCAGGCTCCCCGCAGAGCAGAGAGCCCAATGTGGGGCTTGATCCCAGGACCCTGGGATCATGACCTGAGCCAAAGGCAGAGGCTTTAACCCACTGAGCCACGCAGGCACCCCTTCACTTAAATATTTTTAATGCTTTTCCAGGACCTACTTTGATGACCAATGGAGTCCATCCAGAAGCATCTTGAGACCCTAGGGTATAGTTCTAAAGAGAAGCCATCAGATATCTGATCCTTTTACTAGTTTTCCCCCCTCCTCTCTCCCTCAACTTCCCTAGCACCATTTTCAGGACATCTCATTTATTTAGTAGACAGATCAGTCTAAGTTCTCACACATCTCAGTTTTCATCAAATTTGTAAATCCTTTCCTGGAGAAGGAAAGATGCCTTCCCCTACCCAGGAGCTCTGCATTTTGTAGCCTTTATTTCTGCTCTGGTTTGTACTCCCCAGCTCATCTCCTTCCTCTTGCCTGTCCCATACATACCCACCAGCATTTATGCTGGAGTCACCAGCCTCTATCCAGGTACCAGGCACAAGATTTTGAGGGAGATGCCCATAGGTCAAACACTGAAGCTGCTACTAAGAAATTAAGGGACCTTGAACAGTGACTTGACCTTTCTGAGTTTCTGTTTCCTTTTATGTACCATCATGCTAAAATAATTCTTACCTAATAGAATGATGGCAAGAATTTTCTAGAGGAAAAAAGTAGACACTGTTAGTTCCTTTTCTCTCTTCCCCTCCCAGCAAAGTGGGTGAAATGTCAATGAGTTACGCCCATAGGAAGGGAGTCTGTGAGCCACTCTGAGCTGTTGTGTCTCCTACCATGCAGAACTGCTGTTCCTGCTTTTCTGTTTCTGCCTTCATGATGTACCAGCTCCCAAGGGAATTATCGGTCTTTGATCTGTTAAACATAAGACACAAGTGTGGGAGAGGGAGAAATAAGAATTTTCACTTCAATTAAAGGGCAAGTCTAGTTTTGAGAATGTAAGTCTTAAATACTTTTCAGTTGTTTCTCTTTCTTAGTCACAGCAAAACTCCATTGTTTATCTGCTGTTCTCAGGGCTCTTCTCTCCTCAGGACCTCATCCTGGGTCTTGCTTAGGGTAACTAATCATCACACTCAAAACTGGCCATTTCAGCACTAAAAGTCCCAGGACACCTCAGGAGGCTGGTCGTCCTCACTAGCAATGACCCTGTCACTACTGAATGCATATTTTCCGAGTCTTGTGCTCTGGCTGGCTGCTGCCCAGTGCTGGATAACCTAAGAATCAAATCAAGTTTGTGCTTAAGACTAGCAAGTAGAGACACCAAAAGTTAAGGGAAAAAAATATTAAGAATTACATTTATTTTTGAAAGCATTGAAATAGTTACCGTGGGATAAGTCAGAACTTTAACTTCACTACACTTATGGTTTATTTTACATCTATTTATGAATTATACTTAGGCAGGAGCCCCATAATCTCAGCTTATGGTCTCGGAAGGTCTTCAGAGTAGCCTCTTTGAAGAATTTAAGACAAAAACCAGACGTTCATATTTGCCCACATACTTGCTGGTATTCTCCATTCCTTCTTCACATCCTGATTTCCAGCCAAGATCATTTCCTTTTAGCACAAAGAACTTCCTTTAGAATTTCATGTACAGCAGACCTACTGGCAACAGCTTCAATTGTCTGAAAATATCTTTATTTTGCCTTCATTTTTCAAGGATATTTTTTCCCACTGGCTATAGAATTCCAACTTGAATTTTGTTTTAGCATTTTAGAGCGATCATTCCACACTCTGACTTACATTGTTTCTGATGAGAAGCAGGCATCATTCTTACTGCTGCCCAGAATGGTAATGTGACCTTTTAACAGTTTGACTACAATGTTCATAGTTGTGGAGGCAGGGGTAGGATAGGGGAGGAAGAACAGAGGTCTATACAACAATATTAGCAATGTTTTAGTTCTTAGGTTGATTCTGTTAACCTGGGAAAAAAAAAAAAAAAAAAAGAGCGGGTTATTTTACCAGCTAACTGAGTTTATTCTGGAATAGCAGAGGAATTGCAGTTTTGGGACCAGCAAACTATGGCAAAACAGGCAAGTCTGCAGAACAGAGGTGAGGGGCCTGCTTTTACAGGGTGAAGGGAGGAACCTGGGAGGGACTTTTCTGCTGAGTTCTCCTTGGCTACGTTGTTGCTGGGCAAGGAGGAATTCTTCCTTTTTCCTATTGGGGTATGGAAATAAGTAAGCTTTCTGTTGACGAATGCTAGGTTTGCTTCTTACCATCAGAGCTAGTGTGTGAGAGCTCCCCCTTCAGGGCTTCCTGACTCCATTTTAAATGAGGTTTCCTTTATTTTCACAGTTAGACTGGGTTGTGGATTCACAGATGTTCATTTTTATAATGCTTTATAATTTACATATGTCACATAGTTTCTTTGGTGTTTAACACAATGAAATCACAAAACTGTATGTAATTAACATTTTAAGAGTGATTGAATGGTGCCAAAGTGGAGATACCAACTCCTTCCATAAATCTGGCTGTGACTGTGGAGCAGGGAAATAGGGTAGTGGCTAGAGTAGCATGTGAGGTAAAGGGAAGGTTTTGGGGGTTGGTTTTGTTTAATATGGGAATGGCTACAGCTTTCTTTATGTAAATGCAGTGGTCCCATAAAAGAATGGGAAGATGCAGGAGAAGAAGAGAAAGGATGGTCCTTGAGTCAGAGAGGGCATGGGATGCAGAGCACAGGTGGAGGTAGCTTTTTGAGAGCAAAAAGAAAACACCTTGAAGCATGAAGGAAGATGGAGAAGATCAAGAATATGGGTGCTAAAGCAAGTGGGATTAGAAATTTGGTGGTAGTGTTTCCCATTTGATGGAAGCTTCTATTTTCCTTTTTTTTTTTTTTTTAAGATTTTATTTATTTGACAGAGAGAGCACAAGCAGGGGGAGCAGCAGGCAGAGGCAGAAGGAGAAGCAGGCTCCCTGCCAAGCAAGGAGCCCAACATGGGGCTCAATCCCAGGACACTGGGATCATGATCCCAGCCAAAGGCAGATGCTTAACCACCTGAGCCACCCAGGTGCCCATCTATTTTCTCTTCTTGTCTCTTCTTGTCTTCTGTTTTTTGTAATGTCTCAGGCCTTGTCAACAGTAAATGTGAGAGTTAGGGACAGAAGGGCAGCAACCCTGTCCTATACCCTCATTTGAGAATGTCATCTGTTCTGCCTCCTCCTAAGGCTAGCCTTGGCCCTGAAGGTTGAAGGGGAGCATTTTGAGAGGCTGCTGGGCTCTTCTCAATCAGTGTCCTAGGACTGCTGCACTGTAGCTAACCTGCTTCAGGGCCAGGCAAGCAACCCGTCCCTACAGGAGGAGAGACTCTGCAAGCACTGGCTCAACTGTTCTGGCCTCACCACAAGCTCTAAGGGAAGGCCTGATCCTTCACTTCACATTGAAATGACGCCCTAGAGCCCAGAAACGTGGCTCTAGGTTTCTGGCTCAGAAACACGTCCAGCTTTTGTGAAACAGGGTTTTTTTCCACCCCTTCCCCAACGGTGTAGTGGTTACAGGTCTCTGTGACATTAGTCAAGTCTGATCTTGCTGAGTCTGTTTCCTTCCTCACTTGTCAGATGGGGTTATCGGGACTCACAGGGAGGTTATAGAATACCAAGTGCCACAGAGATAGGGAACAGAGGCTGACCCTTAGCTCTGCTTCTTGTGACTGCCTCCTTTCCGGCTGTCGCCGCTTTCAGAAGGAGAGGAGGAGGTGGGTGGCCGTTGAGCAGGACTGCTGCACGCCAGCCAGCGGCAGTGTCGTAGTACTTGTGCATTGGTCAAGTTCTGCTGCCTCTGCTTTCTCTTACCTCCCATGATCAAGGACCTCTTCACTGGGACAGCTTCCTGGTTTTATTGAAAGTTACGTCTGATTCTGTTTACTTTGCTGCTTGTGGGTAAATTAGTTTTATCAACTTCCCTAAAGGGGAGGAAAGAGAAGATGAGACAGCAGCATCTCATATGTTGTTTTCCCCCAAGTTTCTGTCCTCTGCTCTTGCAGCTATTTCTTTGGGGAAATCTCAACCACTTCAAGTATTTAAGTTATTTACAGTTTGACGACCGGTCAAATCCTTATCTTCGTCTAGACTTCTCTCCCATGCTGCAGACACACTTTCATCCAGCCACATCCTAGCCATCTTTTCCTTGATGTGTCACAAACAGTGCACTATGTCCAAAACTTGAGCTTGGCACCTCCCTTTGCACAATCTTTCTGCCAGAAGCGTGTCCTCTTTCCCCTCTCTTGCTCCTTTACCCCCCACACCCCAGAGCTCTTCTGTTACCAGGGTCTGTTAATTGAGCCCACTAAATATCTTCTACGTGTACTCACTTCCCACCATCCTGTTATCTGTCTTCATCATCTCCCTCATGACTCCTTCTAACGAGTCTCACTCATGTCCACGCTTTCCCACAGCTGGAAGGGAGGCAGACTCTTCAGGGTTGCCAAAAAGCAAAAACCTTTTTATAATTTAAAAACCCATATTCCTGGGGCACCTGGGTGGCTCAGTGGGTTGAGCCTCTACCTTCAGCTCGGGTCATGATCTCAGGGTCCTGGGATCCAGCCCCATGTCGGACTCTCTGCTCAGAGGTGAGCCTGCTTCCCCACCCCACCCCCACTGCCCCGTCTGCCTTTCTGCCTACTTGTCATCTCTGTCAAATAAATAAATCTTAAAAAATAAAAACCCATATTCCTAAGCCACCTATCAAATCTGAGTGCCCCATTTATTTGCCCTCTCAGCAGTGTGTGACATAGTCTATCTCTCTCTCTCTCTCCTTTAAACACTTTCTTCACTTGTTTCTAAGGCATCAGTTCCTCTCTGTTCTCCACCTCCCTCATGGCTGTTCCCGCTCAGCCGCCTTTGCTGGTTCCTCCTTATTTCCCCTACTTGTTAACAAAGGAGTAACCCCGGGCAGAGTCTAGACTGCTCCATTTACATTTGTTTTCCAGATGACCCCATCTGATCTCAGAGCTTTAAATCCTTTCTATGTGCTGACCACTGCTAACTGTTATCTTCACTCAGACTTTTGTAAACTCTAGGCTCATGTGGCCAGCTGCCTACCCAACAGCTCCACTTAGGTATTTAACAGATACTTCAAATTAACACTCACTCCAGATTTTATTCCTCAAAGTTGTTCCTCAGTCTTCCCCATCTCAGTTAACAGACACCCTATCCTTCTAGTTCTGTGGTTTAGACCAAAACCCTTAGAATCCCCCTGACACCTCTATTTCCAGTCCACCAAGAAATTCTGGCAGCTCTGTCTTTAAAATATATCCAGATCTAATTTATCACCACACCAACCATTACCACCATGGTCTAAACCACCGTCACCTTTTGCCTAGATTATTGCAGAAATCTCGCTTGCCTTTCTGCTTCTGCCCTTGCCCCTGGCAACCCATTCCCCATACAGCATCTTTTAACCTTTTAAGATGTTGAGTAAATCCTGTGACTTCTCTCCTTGGAACCCTCCAGTAACTTCTCATTAATGACTAGGAGAGCCAGAACTGGGCCTGAGGACACATAGGCCAGAGCGTAGGAAGGTAATTTCGGCCTCAAACTTGACACATACATCTTCTGGCAAATTAAAGTCATAGTCCTGAGCTAGGTTCAGAGAGGATAGAAGGCCCCTTCCCTCAGGAGCTCACAGTTCCCCAGGGGAGCCAGCTTTATATCTCAGTCCTCCAGCTCCTATCAAGTACCTGTCATGCTTAAAGGGCTGGACCTGGTACCACAGACTGTGTCTGCAGGGAGCTCGGTTCCTAGGGGTACTGGCCTCCAAACCACTCACTAGCTTTCCCAAGTGATATTAGCCTACAATAACACTTAGGGAAAACAAGACAAAAAAGAATGAATTTAGGGAAAAGAAGACAGAGCCACAACAGTGGCTTGAGTAGAATTCAGAGATGAAGGAAAGGCTTTATAAGCTGTGATTCTGGAGAAAAGAAACCTCTCAGGGAATCAGCAGAATTTGGCAACTCAGAGGTCCAAGCAGTGTACGCTAAAAAGGAGGTCAAAGGTAGGGAGGGATTGAACTCAACCAGAACAGTCAGCTTGGGATAGGAATCAGAAGCAAAGAGCGAAAGTAACCTGTCATCTGAGTTTTGGCCTCCCTGCCTGCCTGCACAGCACTTCTTTACTGTGAGATGGGCCTTGTCTTGTTCTGTGCCCTCCTGCCAAGGCCAGGCTCTCCACACAGCAGGAACAAGTTCCTGGACGAACCACAGTCATGGGGCCAGGTGCTGTTGTTCCTGACGAGTAAATAAATCTTTTTGAGAGAGAGAGAACTGTATGAGTGTTAGCTATTATTATTTTTATCATCATTACTATTGAGATGTCTCCCCTGTTATTTATTGTTCCATTTTGGGGGAAACTGGTACAATGAAATGCTAAGGGATAGGGGCGTGATCAAAAGCTTAGCACCAGGAACTGAGAGCTGGGAAGTTAAGCCCCACAGAGCCGCCCTGAAGTATGGAAGCAGTTTTCAAGCTATAGTGGTAGACTCTTTGCTCCATTCAGATCCTGAGTTAGAGGCCCAGGGTGATACACCACCCCTATCTGAGGGTAACAGATCCCTAGCCTCAGAAGTCTCTGGTCTACCTGTATATGAGTCTTAAGGCTTTAAGTTTGCCTCTCTTCTCACAGGAGTTCAAAGAATTTTTTCTGTCTCTTGGTTTCCCTTCCTCAGGCCTAGAGGCATCTAAGAGATGCACAGTCCTGGTAGAGAAACCCAGCTTCCATAAAACCATCAGATCTGGTCAGCTGGGGCCCAAGGGAACTTCCTGAGCCCAGTATCCCCTCTCTTCAGCCTGTGGTCTAAGCCTGATGGCTGAGATGTCTCTCTTAATGTACTGCCTCACTTCTTTGAGCCACCAAGTCCCCAGCTCTCTGCAGAGTGCCAAGAAGAATCCTAAAGGTCCAGGGGTTTTTGATAAAGTCCACACAGAGCTTTTGGGAGATGAGCTCCCTTGCCAAGGGTGTACAGAAGTCAGGGGTAACAGCCAGAATTGGCTGGTGCCCACCCTGACCCAGAATGCAACTTGGCAGGCACCTCACGGGAAAGGGCCCATAGGACCTTTGGGCAGGCACAGGGCTCAAGTTGCCTGAGATACTCTGAAGCCAGAGTCTGGGAGGAGCGAGGACCTCTTCCAGAAGTGACACTTTAACCCTTCCCTCTCAGGAGTCGGGACTCAACCCCTCTCCCTAGCAGGGTGTGAGTTCAGAGGGTCAAAGGGTCTTGATTTAGTTAGGCCTCTTCATTCTATAGATGGGGAGACTGAGGCCCAGGGTGAGGGAGTGGCTCTAGTCCCTATAGAATGGGCCTCTTGTCCAGGAAGGCTCCTCAGAGGAAGGATAGGGAAGGAAGTGGGTGTGGTGAGGAATGGAGGGAGCATGTAGGTGGTGAGAACTACATGACCAGGGCTCTACTGCAGGAGCAGAGGGTGAGCTCAGAGTAGGGAGCCCAGCCACACTGCACTTGAGCTGAGTGATCAGGTTTAGGATTGGCCTCTCAGGGCTAGGCCCCTGGTCTTTGTCTTGTCCCCACATTTCCCCTGCTCTTAGCTGTAGCTGCTGAATCTGCAAACTCTCTTTAGCCCAAGGAAGTCCTAATTCCAGCCTTTGGAGAGGACTCTGGGAGCCACCCCAGGGGAAGGCAGCCAGCCAAGGGGGTGAAAGTTGAGGACGGCAGGCAGCTGTACTGAGCTGTCTCTGGGGCAGCAATCTGTTGGCAAGCCTACCTAGCCAGCCAGAATCAGGGAGCTGTTTACTTTCAGTTTTTAGCTCTTGCAAAAGTTTTGTTTCTAGCAACTAAGTCTGTGTTTATGTTACTTAAGGGAATCACTCTGGAAAAGAACAAAACTTCAGCCCTGATGCCAGGTCCAGAGGTTCACTGGGCAGAGGGCAGTGGAGTGGGGAGAGCTTGGCCAGGTCTGGGGACATGCCTTGGGAAGGTACAGTACCTTACTTCTACTCTGCCCGGGTGAGGTCTGAGAACAGCAAGTCCTCTCTGTAGCAGGTGTTTTACAAGATGTAGCCGACCAGACCCTTGGTCACATATGAATTTCATTTCGCCTTCATAGTAGACCTGGATTAGAAGGCCAAACAGAAGTTCTTAGTTCCCTTTGGTAACAAAGATACTGAGACCCAGAGAAAGAGTGTGTTGAGTTTGGCCACAGACCATTTTCCTTCTACTCTACCCCACTGCCTCCCTTCTGAGAGTCCCAGGAACACCCTGAAGCAGGGGTGAGTGGGGAGACTGCACCCACCACCTTCCTGGCAGGTGATCTGTTCAAGAGGATCCACTGGGGGACTAGAGTGGAGAGAACCCAGAATATAGTGGCTTGGACCAGACCACATTTCAGCCCAAAGAAGAGGGCTGGGCCTCGGGGCGCCTGGGTGGCTCAGTGGGTTAAAGCCTCTGCCTCCGGCTCAGGTCATGATCCCAGAATCCTGGGATCGAGCCCCGCATCGGGCTCTCTGCTCAGATGGGAGCCTGCTTCCTCCTCTCTCTCTGCCTGCCTCTCTGCCTACTTGGGATCTCTGTCTGTCAAATAAATAAATAAAATCTTTAAAAAAAAAAAAAAGAAAGAAAAAGAAGAGGGCTGGGCCTTCCTGAGGGAGGTTTTGGAGAAGATACTATGTCACAGGGACCTGGCCAAAGAAGGATCCACCAGCTGGAAGCCGTTCCTGAGTGACAGAGCACCTCCTCTCCCATCATCTGCTCATGGAGCCCAGCCATGCTGCAGTTGGGCTAGGGGCTCAAATTTAGGATTTGTCTCTCAGGGCTAGGACCCTGGTCTGTGTATCTTGTCCCCATTTCTGCCCTGCTCCTAGCTGTGGCTGCTGAATCTGCTACTCTCTAGCCCCAACAAGTCCTAGTCCCACTCTAGGGGAAGGCAGCTAGCCAAGTGAGTGGAAGTCGAGCAAGGCAGGCATCTGTACTGAGCGAGGGGCCCAGCTCAGGGCTTGGGCCCCCAGGGCTCCAGCAGGAGCATGCAAGGATTTCGGAGGAGCAGTCAGAACATGGAGGGGTGTCCTTGCTCTGAGCAATTTCACCTCTGCCCAGCGCCTCCATAGTTGTGTGTTTTGGAGTAATAACTGATGAAGGAAGAACCTTTACTCCCAGTCAAGATGTTTTTTAGACCCTACTGAGGTCAACAAAAGCCAAATGCTGCTAAGTGTGTGTTCTCTGTCTTTCCACACCCCTGCCCTGCCTAGTACACAGAGCCAAGCCCTGTCCCTGGGCCTGGGCCATACAGATAAAGCCCCCTGGGTTGCTGGTGTGGGTGTGAATGCTGGGAAGTCAGTTGAACCAGTCACACTTGATTCAGCTCCAGGGCAGATGTTGGCCCAGCCAGTCAGGTGCGGGCCTGTGCTCATGCTGTTACCCCCAGTGAAATGACCTCATTCCACCTCCAGTTTAGCTGCCACTCTGCCCATCTAGGATCTCACCTCTGTGTGAAGCCTCCCCTGTCCATCCTGGCTGTCATGAATTGCTCCTTTCTCCATGCTTCCGAGTTCTAAGCTTCATCTCTATGATTGTTGGGTGGGTTGGCATCTGTTTTCTCCCCTCTAGCCTGAGCAGCCCTGTGGGGACAGAAACCATGGCTACTTATTGTCCTTAGAAATTGATCGGGTTGAGGGACGCCTGAATAACTCAGTCGGTTAAGCATCTGCTTTCAGCTCAGGTCATAATCCCGGGGTCCTAGAATGGAGCCCTACATTGGGCTCCCCGCTCAGCAGCAGACCCTGCTTCTCCCTCTCCCACTGCCCCTCCCCCCCCCAAAACATGCATGTGCATGCTCTCAAAAAAAAAAAAAAAAGCTTAATAAATTTATTTATTTTTTAAAAATTGATTGGGTTGAATTGATGAGTCACTAACAAAGTTCTTTAATGGTCATTTCATAAACTGAAGTACCCAACTGACCCTTCCAGGGATGGAAAATAAGACCTATCAGAACTTCTTGAAAACAGTGCTTCTCTTCTGGCAGATGAGGACACAGAAGCTTGGTTTAGGATTTGAGATAGGGGACTATGCTCTTAGGCCTGTTTTCCCATTTAGCTTTTAAAACAAACATCTCTGTCCCCTTTCACTGTAGCAGAGAAAGAAATGGAAAGTTAAGGTACAGCTGGTGACCCAGAAGATGTGTCTGCAGTGAAGCCAGGGCACTAGAAGGGGATTCATCATTACCTCTAAATCCTAAATAGCTCACAAGACAACAGTCTTAGATCTTGGGAGTACAGAGGGATATATGAAGACTTAATGTGCTTCCAAGCACCTGAGAGGATTTGACCTATCCAAAGGCCTGGCACATGGTAGGCCAACAACCACTGGTTCTAGAATGAATGAATAAGATGTTTTTTGTAAGAGGCAGCCTCCTCCCGACCCAGTTTCAGCCTCTGGTCACCAGGGCTTGGTCCCACCCATTACCAACCTCCCATCTTGGACCTGGCGCATTTGGAGTCATAAGCATCAGATTCAGTCCGTGTCTTGCAGGAGCACCCATCCAGTGTAGAGGAGGAGGGCAACAACCAGGGACTGGGCAACTGGTCTACCCTGGCCTAAGGCATTATACAGCACCTCTCATATTTTGGAAGGAAGAACTCCAGTCATGAGCAAAGAGTAGTTTTCCTTTTTTCCTTTTAGCCTAGGCCTCCCTAGAAGACATGGAGCTGTGGGTTGGGTCTCAGGCAACCCTAACTGTGGGCTATCAGTGCTGAGAGTTTGCTCAGGTTCTGTGGACTTCAGCATTTAGAATTCCAGATTGGCAGGTAGTCCTCAAGGCTGCCTGGCTATCCACTCCCCTTATCACATTCTGACTGCTGTTCTAATTTTTTTAGTAGATCACTCTGTCCTCTCGGTGCCATGGAAGTCAAGAACTGGGTTCTGAGGGCACCTGGGTGGCTCAGTTAAGTATCTGCCTTTGACTCAGGTCATGATCTCAGGGTCCTGGGATCGAGCCCACACATTGGGCTCCCTGTTAGGAATCCATCAGCAGGGAGTCTGCTTCTCCCTCTCCTCTGCCCACCCCCCACTCATGCTCTCTCTCAAATAAATACAAAATTTAAAATAGAAAAAGAACTGGGTTCTGTTCATTTCTGTCTCCTCACAGTAGGCGTTGAAAAGGTTAAGTGAAGGAAGGGGATTACTAAATGTTACTGATCCCAGAAGCAACTCTCGCTGGGCCTCAGATTCCCATTTGCAGAATCACAAGGGGCATGGAGGTAGTTTCAGATCTCTGGGGTCTCCACCAAACTGATTCTTGGTGCCTGGGGAGTGGTGCAGTGAGCTGCCTATACCTCCATCAGCTTGTGAAGACCTCAGCACATGGATTTGGAGACAGAGATACCCATCCATAGGGCAGGCTGCATGCTATTGAGGTCAGCCAAGTTCACCTGTGGTGGCGACTCCCATCTCCTTTTAGCACTGCCTCTTCCTGTCAACTGGCTGCCTGGGTTGGCTTTTTTGTATAGCTTTGAGCTGCTCCAGGGCAGGAACCTGGTACAGAAAATAAAGTGGAGTGGGGAGCAGTTGAATGAGCAAAAGAGTGAGTCATATAGGAGTCCAGAAGACCACCATCACATAACGCAAATGTACACTAGGACCTTAAAGGGGAACTAGTGATACCCTGTCAGCCTGAGGCAGGGAAAGCTTTGGTAGGAGGGCAGTGTCGGGATGTGGTTCATGTCACCTGCCGGCTGTCAGAACTCCCAGGGGCCATACTGAGAGTGTAGTATTCACCAACATCTCCTCCCTGGCAATTGGATATATTCCCATGGTGACATGTAGAACAGTTAGAACTCAGAGGACGAATGACTTATCCATATTCATGCAGCAAGAGAAGGGATGAGGCTTTAATCCTGTCCCGGAAGGGACTGCTCCTCCTCCACAGGCAGACAGAGTCTCAGCTAGGGTTCACATCCCGTCTCTGCCACTCCAAGCTGTGGGACCTTGAGTTTATTTAAACCTGAACTCTAGTTTCCTGTCCATGACCTAGGAACAACATGCCCACCCGTGGGGTTGAGATGAGAGTTAAACAACATCAGGTACATAAAGTGCTTTGTAAACCAGTCAGCTCTATATCAATATTAGCCAGAGAACCAAGATATGAAAGGAACCAGTCATTTCTTGGAGGTGCCATATCCTCACCTAGCTGACTTCTTCTTCTTTCAGGATAAGACTGAGGCCTCCAACAGAGTCTTGTCCAGAAGGCCTTGTCGTCCCAGACCCAACTCGCTGCCTCCCAACTTGCCTGAGGAAGAAACTCGCAGGATCGCACGGATATTTTCTTCCCAGTACTCCCAGAAAGACTAATACAGACTGAAAGACAAAGGGAAGGATCCGCCTGCCCACCTTCCTTTGGCCTTGTCTGGCTCACATGAGAAACAAGGTCTGCTTCCTTCAAGGCCATGAGGGCCCTGAAACTACCACCAGCCTAGTCCATGGGTGCCTTGGGACCCCATCCAGCACAGCCTGGAGGAATGTCCCAAACCGGTCCAAAGTCCATCTGCTAGGATTTCAGCTTCTTCCTTCTAAACAAAATGGACTCCAGTACCCAAGTGGAACCACCCATCTTTTGACCAAGGGACCCAAGCAGGCATCTCTCGGCTAAGAAACTCCTTCCAGTGTCCTTGATAGCCTACTGCTGACATGAGCCCACCTTCTGCCTGAATATCATGGGCCATTTTTGACTTAAAGTTTGGGTAGGGTAGAGGTGGGGGTGGAGATTGTGTGTGTTGTGCATAGCTGAGGAAGTCCTTGAGCCACCTCAGCTGATTTGCTTAGAAATAAGGGTATTTTATAGATATAAATTATTTTTACGCTGTGTTGAATTAATCAATAGAAAAGGAGGGGGGGAAATCACCTCCTTTGGACTTTTGTCTGATTATCTGAAATTCTAACCATGCTTTTAACTTATTGTTCTTACCCAGCTCTGAAGGTCCTTGTTCCTGCCTGTGTTTGAATAAAATCATATTGGTATTTGTATTCTGTAAACAGGTGTTTCCTGGGTTGGCCACTGGACTGGGGTGTTAGGAATCCATTTGTGCTCTAACAGCCAAAGGAAAGCTTGAAAACCATACAGTCCCTTAAGCTCACCTTGAACCAGGGGCCAGGGTCACCACAAGACTTCACGGTGAGAGATCAGATTGGGCGGACACTCTGTTATTCCTTTGCTTATGCCTCCAATCCGGCAACAAAGTGGAGGAGTCTCCTGGAACAGGTCTGCTCAGAACCCCTGATCTCTCTAGGATGAATTGCTCTGGGTTAAGACTGTCAAACTCCAAACATTTGAGCAGCTACTATAGACAGGGCCTGTGGGGAAGATAAGAAAAGCACAAAGATGTGCAGAATGGCTGGGAGAGAAGGTTGGAGGAGAACTAACATGGTTCCGCTTTCCTCCCCAAGCACAGGCCATTTTGCTTAGTCCTCATAACAACTCTATAACCTACAGATCATGATACCCATTTTATAGTTACTGAAACTCACCAAAGTCAAGTCATTTGCCTCTGTTTATGTAGCTAGGAAAGGAATCACCACATACATTTCCAGAGGTGTCACAAGGCTTCTGCACACACGGAATAGCCAGTGAGTGGTCTGAATTGGGGAAATTGATGGAAAACCATGTGGGCTGGAGCAACCAGGGCGGGCTTCCCAGAAAAGTCGGAGGATGAGCCCAGAGAAAAAACCAGGAGAGCACTCAGGGCCACATGCTGCTAGGGACAGGGAAGAGACATGTCTTGACACTGCCACTTCCCTCCTAGGTCCCCTCCAGCTTGACTGTCCTTCCATCGGAGCCACTGTTGCCTCATCTGCAAAGCGGAGATAATAACGCTTCAGAGGGTTGTTGTGAAGACTAAACGAGATGACATTTGTGAAAGTGCTTCGCCTGCACTTGGCACTTGGTGGAAGCTGAGGAAATGTCAGCTCCTCCCACCCCACCCCCACCCCCGGAGCTCCCGAGCTAACCAGCAGACAGGCAAGCACCCCAACAGCTCTGAGACAGGCAGGACGCGCCTGAGGGTGTAGGGTGATGCACAAACCCCGAGGAGGAACAGGGTGCCCCCCATCAGTGAAGTGCCCTCCCACCAGGCTGTTCCCTTTTTGTTCATCTCGGCCCCTCAGCCTTCAGCCTGCCGGCTCACCCCCTCCCCCCCCCATCTCAGGTTGACAGTAGGAGCTTTCAAGGCAAGGGCTCCACCTGCCTTAAGGCCACATAGAACCTACAGAGGGGCAGTTGGGGGCCCAGGCCTGAGGGGTTAAGCCTCAGGTGAAGAATATTCCTTCCAAATCCTGCTCCAGCTTCTATAAATAACCTGATTGGGTCAAGTTAGGATAAGGCCACAGCAGGACACAGGCTGCTCCTACCCAGGCAATTTTTCCTACCCAGGCTCAGAGCAACCCCCCAAAATAAAAGGGCACCCTAAGGGTCTGAAAACCATCACCTCCACTTAAAAAGAGTGTGTTATTTACCAGTATCCTCTCCCTGAAAGTTGGATCTCTTTCCCGGTGACAGCTCAGAGATGAAATGCCTTGTGAGCCATGCAGCCTGGCTTAAGGGCATGAGGTACATATTTGACAACGAGCCATCATCTCCCTCACTTCCTTTCAGGCACTGCCTCTGCAGAGACCTGAAAATGGATGTTTCTGATCACCAGATGCTGGCTGCTCCCAGCCCTTGCCACCAACCTTTGAACTTCTAGTGCCTGTTGGACTCTGGGGACAGGGAGCCACAGCAGACACACCTGGCCCTGCCCTCAAGAAGCCTCCCAGCCCAATGTAAGCTGAGTCCTCCCTCTGGGGACTCCAGGGCCCTTGGCCTCCTTGTTTGAGCGCCTGCTGTTTATCCCTTCCCACGTACCCACTGCAATCTAGCCACCACCTTCAGGCCAGCATTTCCAGCTGGAGCCGGAACCTACCTCCTGAGCCCAGCCTCAGCGGTCTCCTAGCAGCCCCTTCCCTTATGAAGGGAACTGCCTGGGCTACTGATGTTAGGGCACGGTCTGCTCCAAGGGAGAGGACAGACACAGCCCTGGCTTTGCACTTGAATGTCTAGACTTGTGACCACTTGCCCTGTGGCCATGGCTCTGTGCCCAAGTCCAGAAATGGGTTCTGCCTACTCCTCTGCCCTACCCAGTTAACTCCCTTCTCACCCCGGAATTCCCCTCTCTTCTCCTGTCCCCGTCCCCTCTTTCCTGTGTCACCTGCGTCCCAGGTTCAGATGTGCCCCACCCTTCCCCTCAGTGCCTACTGATGGAGCCTACAGTAGTAGCAGCTGCTAGGAGCCCTCCCTGCCGTGCTCCACATACCTCTGCCCACTCCCTTTGGCTCCCTTCAGTGTCATGTGTGAGACGGTAAAGGTCACAGCAGAGAGACCCAGAATTATAATTATTAATTTATAATTATAAATATTATAATTTAAGGACTGGGGGTTGGGCAACACCATATACTAGCAGTGTGACTGGGGTTAGTCCTTGTCCCTCCCTGACACCATTTTCTCCTCTGTAAAGGAAGCATTACAAATGTTAGATGTTCAGCAAGAAAAGGAATGAGGTACCGATACATGCTATAGCGCAGACACATCTTGAATGTACTACGCTAACTGAGAAAATCCAGTCACATACAATAGGATTTTATTTATATGAAAGGTTCAGAAATCCATAGAGATAGGGACACCTGGGCAGCTCATCAGTTAAACATCTGCCTTTGGCTCAAGTCATAATTCCGGAGTCATGCTTCTCCCTCTGCCCCTCAGCCCACTCTTGCTCTCTCTCGTTCTCACTCTCTCAAATTAATAAGATCTTTTAAAAAAAGAAATCTATAGAGACAGAAAGTAGATTAGTGATTGCTTGGGGCTGAGTGTAAGGCAAAAAGGAAAGTGATTATTGATGTACATGGATTTGGGGGGAGTGTGTGGGGAGTGGTGAAAATATTTTAAAATTGTGATGATGGGATGCCTGGTTAAGCGGCTGCCTTCGGCTCGGGTCATGATCTCAGGATCTTGGGATCGAGTCCCACATCGGGCTCCCTGCTCAACGGGGAGCCTGCTTCTCTCTCTGCCTCTGCCTACCACTCTGCCTGCTTGTGTGCTCTGTCTCTCTCTCTGACAAATAAATAAATAAATAAATAAATAAAATCTTTAAAAAACCATTAATTTTTTTTTATTTAAGTTTTATTTTTTTAAAACATATAATATCTTTTTATCCCCAGGGGTACAGGTCTGTGAATCGCCAGGTTTACACACTTCACAGCACTCACCATAGCACATACCCTCCCCAATGTCCATAACCCCACCCCCCCCAACCCCCTCCCCCCATTAACCCTCAGTTTGTTTTGTGAGATTAAGAGTCACTTATGGTTTGTCTCCCTCCCAATCCCATCTTAAAAACCATTAATTTTTTAAAAATTGTGATGATGGGGGCGCCTGGGTGGCTCAGTGGGTTAAGCCGCTGCCTTCGGCTCAGGTCATGATCTCAGGGTCCTGGGATCGAGTCCCACATCAGGCTCTCTGCTCGGCAGGGAGCCTGCTTCCCTTCTCTCTCTCTCTCTCTCTGCCTGCCTCTCTGTCTACTTGTGATCTCTCTCTGTCAAATAAATAAATAAAATTTTAAAAAAAAATTGTGATGATGGTTGGATAACTGAACAGTTAAAACCAATGAATTATATCCATTAAATAGGCGGACTGTATGTATGTGAATTATATCTCAGTAAAGCTGTTATTTAAAAAAACAGAATCCTGGGCACCTGCGAGACTCAGTCAGTTAAGTGCCTGCCCTCAGCTCATGTCATGATCGCAGGTTTCCAGGATGGAGCCCCATAGCCAGCTCCCTGCTCAGGGGGTCTGCTTCTCCCTCTCCATCTGCCCCTCCCCCCTCCTCATGCTCGCTTTCTTTCTCTCTCTCAAATAAAATATTTAAAAACAAACAAAACAAACAAACAGAATCCTAATAGTACTCACCTCATAGGGTTGTGAAAAATAGAAATAATGTCTCTAAGGTATCTGGCACACAGTAGGCACCAAGAAATGACCATTACTATCATTGTTAATGTTAGGACAGCCCTGCCCTGCCTATCCTGTGTGTGGCATTGACCTTTGAATTCTCAAAGGTGACAGGTCCAACCCCTGTCCCCATATGTGCCCTGATTACCTGAGGTAGCTCTTTCAGCAGCTGGAAGGAGCTATTTTAAAGAACCCTAAGTCAGAGGAACTAAACCAGATCTGGAACTCTGACCTTTCCCCTCACCTCCCTGCCACTCACCAGCCAGCCTCCTCTTGTCAAGTGATCAGGCTGTCAACTAAGCTTCTGTAGGGTAAGGTTTCAAGCCAGCTGGAGCGTATAAAGATAGGTGCCAAGCCGGAGGCAGAGAGACAACAGTGAATGGTAAGGGGGCAACTAGATCCCTGCTTCCCCCTCCTGGGATGGAGCCCTAAGGAGCCTTAAGGAGGCCCTGTGCTTCCCCTGCCCTGGCTGGACTCACAGGTAAGACCCCATTCTCCCACCCCCTTCCTCCTCCATGCTCTGCCCTTCACGGCAGCTTACAGAGAGCAGCCCGGAGCGAACGCAGATCACTAGCCTGGGATCACTACAGAGCTGGTAGATTTCATTCCTCCCCCACCAAGTTAAGAGGGAGTTACGGCAACCCTAATGCGGGGGCACCATGGCCGGGCAGAGGCTCGACCCCAACATCTGTGTCACTCACCCACAACTCACTCTCCCCTTTTACTGATGGCCACCTCTGCTCTGATTTTGCAAATCTCCATAGACAATAGTGGCTTTCTCCTTAGTCTAGCACAGAATCTCCAGAATTCCTCTAGAGCATTAAGCCCTTTCCCCATGAAGGTCCTGGGGACCCCTTTCCTGAGTGGAGATGGTGCATGCACCCCTGGCCTCACAGGGAGGGAAGTTCACGAGCCCACACAACTCTACTCGAGCGACTTCCTCAGCGGGGATATGCTGTGCAGGCTTTGCCAGGAGGGTGAGATCAGGCGGGGCATCTCAGAATGGGGTTGTCTGATCCCTGCTTCTGAGCTGCCATGGAGAACAGATTCCCCAGCCCCAGCCCAGACCTGAATCAGGATCTCCTGTGCTGAGGGCCTCTGAGAATCCATTCAGTAAACAAGCAGTTCCGGGGATCCTGAGCTCTCCCTGAAGAGTGAGGCTCCGGCCAGTGGCACGGGCGCAGTGTCACACTGACCTGGGCTCCAGTCCCAGCCCCATCCCTTCCGTATGTCTTATGACTAGCTGAAGCCCTCACAGCCTGAGGTCCCTTGTTTATGAGTGGGAATCTTTGTGACAACTACCGTATAGCCTTATAAAGGGACTGAATTAGTCAATACCTATAAAGTCCTCGGCACCATGCCTCATGCAAGAAGCACTGGGCAGACATCAGGGTTAGGGTTACTGGAACATCCTGTGCCTCAAGTGCCCTAGCAGAGCTACGGAGAGAAGAGTCCTGCTCTCAACTTCCCCTTTGCCACTGACAAAATTCCGCTGGCTGCTAGATTTCCTCAAGTATCAATTCAGGATGCTGGAGTCAAGGGGGAAGAGAAGTGGGAAACGGTGGCCTCAGGGCAGCTCCTGAGTCTACCATTGTGGCCTCCCTCTCCACCATAACTTGACTAATGAAAGTTCTAGCGCACCCACCCCACAACAAGGTAGGGCTTTTAACTTGAGTCCCTGCCCATCCATTCTGCCTCCCATGGCTCAGGGCTGCGTCCAGAATAGGCTGCGGCTTCACGTGTGGCCGCTGCGTGGCTCCAACAGCTCTGGCTGCACCATTCCAACAACTTCCTCACTGGCCTCTCCCCTTCCAGTCCAGCCTCGACATTTGCACCCGCATACTCTGAACACTGGCCTGATGATGTCATTCCTCTACTTGAGAACCACCAACCACTCCCCATTCTCTGATTCAGTACAGCCCTGGCATTCCAGATCCCTCCATGAAAGATCACTATGGGCTTCTCTGATTTCATTTCCCATTTCTCCACTTCAGCAAGTGGGGTTCCTTGGTCAACTGGTCCCCCCTGGGCCCCTCTAGCCCTGGGCCATCCCGGTACCAGGCTACACAGAGAAGCAGGATAAGTAGACCCTATCCCAGCCTTTGGGGCTCCCTATCTAGAGGGAAAACAACTACAGCTACTGAGCTAATCAACAAGAAGCTGTGGGATCAGAGGCCGGGCCAAAGGAGTTTGACAGTTCAGGCTCCCCCAATCCTCCCACCCAACCCCCAGGCCAGGGGAAAACAGGTTTCCCCCAGGAGATCCAGCCCATGAGACAAAACCCATGAAGTGCACCCTGTGGGTCCAGGTACAGCACAAACACTGTGCACCAGGCTGAGACCACAGAATGCCTCGGAGTCACATAGCCCTGGTGGGAATCCCACTTCCGCTCACTGTGTGATCTCTGACAGGTCATTTCACCTGTCTTGGCCTCAGTTTGTAACTCTGCAAGTGGAATAAAAATACCTAACTTATAGGATTCTTCTATTAGAATCTGAGTGGCTACCAAAGGCTTCGAAGAAAGGACACTCCTACACTCTTACAACAGTAAGAGACAGTAGAGAAAGCGACCCCCAAGGGCCTCCCTAGCTCTGAGCATCAGACACTCAGCTTCCTGATGCTAGGGCTCCGAGCAGTCCAACTCACGTCAGAGAAGGGGAAAGTCTGGGGAAACGCCAGGGCCGGGAACAAGAGAGGCAGCTGCTCACGCATTCACCTGCACACGCCCCAGACAGAGCCTCCTGGCTGGGAACTGAGCCCTCCTGGCAGCTGCTGGTCTTCTGGAGGCAAAGGGAAATGGAAAGGAGGCAAGTGGAAGACGGTGTTCCCCTAGCATCCTGCAGTCTGTCCCCTCCGCCAGGCTCAGGTCCGTGGACGCCAGGGCCTCCACACCACCACCTGGAGGAGTGGACCCTCAGGGAGGCAATACAGAAAAGCGGGAAGACAGGCTGTGGGAGGAACACTGCAGAGGGAGCCCGAGACCTGACTGTGTGGCACGCACAGGTCTCAGCCTCTCAGGCCATTTTCTTCATCGGCCAACCTGGGCAGTGATGCCCACCCAGCCTTCCTCACCACGCTGCAGGTCTGTATGCTTAGCACTTGATTCTCTAGATGGCTTTGCATATAATCCATTAACTGCAAAGGGATCTGAATGCCCTGAATAAAAAAGACAAGGTCTGGAAATCCAGACTACCACCCCCACTGGGGTCCCGGGGTGAAAGGTGACGGGGCCTCATTGCCATCAGAAGAATTTAGCTGAGGTTCTATGTCTTTAAACCAGTCTCTCTCCATCTCAAACCTCTTTTTCTCATCTGTAAAATGGAATTAAATGCTTCCCTGCCTTCCATCCAAGGCTGCTTTGAGCCTTAAGTACAGCAGAGTGCACCAGGCTCTGACACCAGAGGTTGGTAACACTCAGCAAGCTCATGTTTCGAAGCCCTGATATGCGCACCCAAACGTAGGGGAAAGGAGCAGCTACCTCTCAGGAAAGGTGTGAGAACTCAGTGGGATTGTGTGTAAAACTCTACTGCGAGGGCCTCACAGCCAGGTCGTCATTTTCTCCTCCTACCTGAATCCATGCCCTGGACTCTCACACGAGCTCATGCCCTTCCCCACATCTAGAACACCCTTCCTGCTTCAGCTGCCAAAATCGTGCCGGCTTTTCAAAGCCTAACCTCTGTGACCCTCCTCCCACCCTCCACCGTGAAACGATTCTTATCCCACCTCACGAACAAGACAGTCACTTGTGACCCTCCTCCCACCCTCCACCGTGAAACGATTCTTATCCCACCTCACGAACAAGAGAGTCACCCCCTCCTTTGAGTCACTTCTTGGGGCTTCCCTCCCCTCTGACATTGGTCCAACCGATCTTGCACTAGTTACTTGTGGGTGTGTCTGATGACCCCACGAGACTCCTTGAGATCTCCTTGTCGGCAAATCTCACAACTGTTTTTGCTCATCCCCAGATTTCCTGGAATGACAAGCACAGAACCTAGCATGACATGGGTCCTATGGAGCCCACCAGCCATGGCAAGGACACTGGACTTTTTCTGAATAAGTGCTCCTCCCTGCTCCTTCTCTCTCTCTAATAAATAAATTAAAATATTTTAAAATAAATAAATAAATAATAAAAGTATCCCATTCCTCCGGGCATGATTTAAGAGTTGTCCTACCACACTATGACCCAGGCTTCCAGACTGGAATCCAGTGGCTGGTGAGTTCCAACCTCAGACCTTCCTCCTCCATCCCACCTCTCTAATTCCCTAGTTAATTCAACACCTATCAGCAAGCTCCTTGAAGGTCAGGGCCAAACCTGCTTCATTCCGTATCTTTCCTTCCGTAGCACCTACTATAGTGGTCAAGAAATACCTGATCATTAAGATAATCACTTACACTTTAGCATGAATTAGAACATTAGTTTCTTCTCAAGAACAGGCTTGGTTAGGGAAAGGTGGCAGCAAGCATAAGAGTGAAGGTGCCATGTAGGTTGAGGAGACAGCACAGAGACAACCGGAGTTCTAGATGGCAGTACTGAAAGAAGACTTAGGTTGTCACTTATCTTTTGGCATCCAATTTATCATTGGTGAGCAGGTAATATATTTTTCTCATTTGCCCAAGAGAAGTTAAATGACACACCCAAGTTTCCACCAGCATTAGTAAGCCATGAAGACTCAGCAGCTGCTCAGGTCTCCTCACCCAGGACCAGAGTTTTTATTGCCCCAGAAGGAAAGGGACAAACACTGTGCCTACCTCACAACTCTGTGGCACTGGCCCTGACTCTAGGGGGTGAGGACCCTGAAGAATCCAGGATCCCAGCATACTAGGGGTATGTATGAAATAGGTGCCAGGGGGTGTGACCTGCTAAGAAATGGCATCAGCACCAAAAACCAGATGCCCAGAAGTCCAGGTGATAAGAATGCAGGGCTGCCCATGACAGGCGTGCCAGCTTTCCAAGGTAACCACAGCTAAGCCAGGACCTTCGGATACACTCATGCCCCTGCTCAGCCAGGAGTGGGACAGGTGCAGGCCCAAGTGCACACAGGGAGAGGAGACACATTCTCTTGACCCAAGATGGATCCTCCTCTGTCTGAGAAGCCCATTCTCTTCAGCTGAGAAGGGATGTCCTCAAAGGTGTGAGGGGAAAGGCCTGTCCTGAGCCAGGCAGAGCAGCTGCCACTGTCCCCAACATCAGCAGCAGGACGCTTTACAACCCCATCTCCCTGGGAGACCTGGGAGGCAGAGCAGCAGAGGAGCCCAGGACCAGGCTCCCTCCCTCCTCCAAAGCAGAGCATCAGCCCCAGGAATCCCACAGCTTTGGGAGGAAACACCTCTAGTCCTAGATTAACAATCTTTAGTGACAGAGGAGCTGGGAACGATTTCGCTTTAAGTATAGTAAGAGTATACTCCAGCAGCCTTGCAAAAAAACAAGCTTTCATCCAAGATAAACAACAGTTGAGGTGAGTCACGAGGCACAATCATATTGTTGATTTGGGGAAGAAGGACCTGCAGTGGACAGACTCGGTCGGCTCTCTGTACACTCCAGGGAGCAGCTTGGTGTGGGAGGAAACAGGTTGTAGGATGGAGTCGGAATGAGGTCTGGTCCCTGCCTGGGCCTCAGTTTCCTCCTCTAAAGGATGAAGATCCACCTGGTTAGTGGAAAAAGGAGGGGGTAGGAGAGGGCCGCAAGAAAAACGGAATGGGAAAGTGAGCTGTTCTTATAAGCCAAATCCAGACAGCTAAACATAGCAAAGCCCAGGCTTTTCTCTAACTAAAGCTTCTCCCAGTGCTGAAAGGAGCCTGGGGACAGGTCTGGATGGCCCAAGTTCCATCTGCCTCCTCTGGCCTGTCTCTGGCAGCCTCCTCCCTGCACTAAAGCTCAGGACTGCAAAGCGGCCTCTCTCCTTGGACCTCTCTCCTCTCTTCTCTCTCCTGGGCCCCGGAGGGACCAGGCAGAACCTTCTGGGACCATGGTTGGACTAAAGCCTTCAGAGGTACCTCCCACCACAGCTGTGAAATTCCTGGGGGCAGGCACAGCAGCCTGTTTTGCTGATCTCCTCACCTTTCCACTGGACACAGCCAAGGTTCGCCTGCAGGTAAGTACTTTTTGGCAAGGGTCGTTGCTCAGATCAAAGGCAGGACTGAGTTCTCCACTCCAGCACCTCTAGCGTGTGCCAGCCTGCTCGTCCTCAAAGAACCCTGCTTACAATCCTGCGCCACCATCGTCCGAGACAAAAAAATCGTAGGTCCTTGGGCCCTTCCTGGCCTCACCTGACTTCGTAAACCATGGAGTGTGAAGGAAAAGTAACTGTGTGACCTTGGGCAAACCACTGACCACTTGTTGTGGGGAAAACAATCTGCCCTCCATGTGCTCTGAGGGCTGAGCACCACACCACGGGTCACAGTTTAGGAACAATGCGGCTAGGGGCACACACCTTGTTTTCACGAGGATGTGGCGGCTCCAATCGTGCTCGCGCTCGAGAACCAGCCCCGGGCAGGCCCCTCTGCACACGGCCCCATCCACCCCGCTCCCAGCTCCTCACCCTCTGCTGGGCCGTTCCTCAGATCCAGGGGGAGAAGCAGGCGACCCAGGCAGCCCAGAGACCCCAGTACCGCGGCGTACTGGGCACCATCCTGACCATGGTGCGCACCGAGGGCCCCCACAGCCCCTACAACGGGCTGGTCGCCGGCCTGCAGCGCCAGATGAGCTTCGCCTCCATCCGCATCGGCCTTTACGACTCTGTCAAGCAGTTCTACACCCCCAAGGGATCCGACCGTGAGTGCCTGGCATCCCAGAGACACGGAGGGGGTAGGCAGAAGCAGGCTCTAGGCTAGCGGGTCAGGGATGCAGGTGGTGCGGACTCAGAGGCAGGGCTGGGCCGCTGAAGGCTGGAGACAGTCACGAGGAGACAGAGCCACAGTAGAGACCCCGAGCCTGGGAGAAGAGGCAGGCATCAGGCAGGGGCAGCCCCACAGAGAAGAGCGTCCAGCCCGGAGGAGCACTGGCTGGCCGAACGCCGACCCCCTCTCTCTCCTCCTCTCCAGACTCGAGCATCACTACCCGGATTTTGGCAGGTTGCACCACTGGGGCCATGGCGGTATCATGTGCCCAGCCCACGGATGTGGTGAAGGTCCGGTTTCAGGCCAGCATACACCTTGGGGCCGGGAGCAACAGGAAATACAGTGGGACAATGGACGCCTACAGGACCATCGCCAGGGAGGAAGGGCTCAGGGGCCTATGGAAAGGTAGGTCTGGACTCCAGGCTCAGAGGGCCCAGGGTAGAGCATGCCTTACCCTGAGTTAGGGCGGAGAACCGAGCAAGGAGGGAACTCCCAGCATGGTATAGTCCGGTGATCCTGCAAGAACATCCCAACCAAAACTCTCACACTGACCTGCCACAGTGCCCGAGTTCAATTCAATTTGGCAACCCTTCAGCATGTGCAGGTTGCTGTGAGGGAGACATAAAGGAATGGAAGATACCTTCCCTACCCTCATGGCTCTCGCAGACGGAGAGGGAGGAGACATGTCAAGGAGCAGCCATTCCACAGGGTAGGACGTGCAAAGGTCACATAGAGGTACACAGCCAGAGGCAAGGGAGGCCGTGCAGACTCCAAGGTCGGGGGGGAAGGCGACACGGAAGCTGGGCCTCAAGGCTCAGTGGGCTCTAGGTGTGTGGAGATGGAAGGGGAGGGCTTCCCCAGCAAAGTTCTCTCAGGGGTAATGACTATAGACATAGGACCGTAGGACTACAGGACTCAGAGAAGAAACAGAGGCCAGTGGAGGAGGCAGCTGTGAGTTGTCGGGTGCAAGGAGATTCAATGAGGAGGGGGTTTCCTCAAGAGTAAGGCTTCCGGGGTCCCTATGTGTCCCCGTGGAGGCCACCGTGACAAATGCTGGAATCTCTCCCACATGTGGACCAAGGATCACACCAATCCTTGCAGAAGAGAGAGTGACCCAGTGAAGGTTAAGCACAGGACCCCTGGGTCACAGCTTGATTTGCTCTGCACTCTCCCCAAGTCCAGCCCTCATCTGTGATATCAGTGGCTGGGTCTTGATGCTCTCCTAGGGCCTCCCAGTGCTACTTCCTGTCACTGCTCCAAGAGTCTTGGAGCTCTTGGAAAGAAGAAAGGCTTCCTTGCCTGACTTTAGCCGGGTCTCAGGGAGGCATATTTTAATTTTGATAGATATTACAGATTATTCTCCAAAGTGTGGCTCAGACAAACATAAGAGGACCTCTCTGTTTCCTGTCTCTGAGGTGGACACGGATAACCTAAGAGTTAGCCCCAGAGAGGAAAGTGTGGAATCCGCTCAGATGAAGCGGGCTCCTCTGAGACCCCTGGAATGCAGCATTCTGCCCCCAAACCGGAGCCCAGGACCTTGCAACCAGGGAGTCTGCGTCTCGTTTTCACTCATCAGCCCCCATCCCATCCTTCACAGGAACTTTCCCCAACATCACAAGGAATGCCATCGTCAACTGTGCTGAGATGGTGACCTATGACATCATCAAGGAGAAGCTGCTAGACTATCATCTGCTCACGGGTGAGGCCCTGGGCTCCAGGGAGCTGCCCTCCCACAGCAGGGAGGAAACCTGGAATTCCACAGAGTGGGTACCACTCAGAGGTGACTGGGTGTTAGAAGGAGCAGAGAGGGGAGCAGTGCCCAGTAAAAATGCCCAGTATAGGAGTGCCTCTTAACTTGCTAGATGGGGTGCTGCCCAATTCATGAATCACTTAATAATGCCAATTAGAGCTTTAAAAAAAAATGCCCCGCCATCATTGTGATGAGTGGGAAAGAAGCCTGGACAGGGAGGCCAGAGCCCTGGGTTCCAGCCCAGCACTTCCCACCGTGCACCTTGAAGCAAGGGTCACCTTCTCCGACTTCGTTTTCCTTTAATGAGATCGCTGGGCTGCAGAGCCATCCCGCGGTGGGACAGCTCTGTTCTATTTTGTGAGTCCTATGAGAGCTTTAAAAAGCACTGTCCTTACACTCAGGAGTTTCCAGTTTAGTAAAGGACAAATGACGACACACGGGGAACAGAAAGGCAGCGCTTTGCCTTCCCACAGCTCCATACTTGCTCCTCCCTTCCCCGCTGCAGACAATTTCCCCTGCCACTTCATCTCTGCCTTTGGAGCCGGCTTCTGTGCCACAGTGGTGGCCTCCCCAGTGGATGTGGTGAAGACCCGGTACATGAACTCACCCCCAGGCCAATACCGCAGCCCCCTGGACTGCATGCTGAAGATGGTGGCCCACGAGGGCCCCACAGCCTTCTATAAAGGGTGAGTCTCCCCCTCCTGCCTCCAGCACCCCCTCCCAGGGAACCTGGGCTTGTTTCCTTCCCTTCTTTCTTTCCTTCCTTCCATTCTTCTTTCTTTCCTTCCTCCACATATAATGTGCCTACCACGGGTCCACTTGGAGACATGGTGGTGAACAGCACAGATGTAAACACCACAAAGGACAAATATAAAGAACTACAGAAGTTAAAAAAAAAAAAAAAAAGCGGACCAAATCTGATCTGGAGAGTCAGGGGAGGCTGAGAAAAAGAATTTTAGGCATAGGTCAAAGTGTTGACTATCCCCAAACTTACAGGGTAAGGGAGGAAGGAAAGGTGGTCGGTCGTCCTGAGACTTGCCTCCAGTCCACTGTCATGACTGTGGATCAGCACGGATGGCAGCCGAAATGCCCAGCCACGTCACATTTTTTTGCTTCTGGGTCTGCTTTTACCATTCCTTCTTAATGGAATGCCTTTCCCGCCTCATGCACATGCGTCAGAACTAGTTCAAAGGCCACCTCCTCCCCAGTATTCTCCAGTAGGAATCTTTCCTCCTCCCTGTGAACTTCACCAATACATCCTTGATTCCACTGTTTAGGGTACTTACCACCTCCTACCTTGTGTTATAGGATTTGTAAAGTTAAAATAGTCCCCATGCTGGGTCACAAGCTCCTCAAAGCCAGAACTGGAGGCTTATCCGTCTTTCACGTCCCTAGCCAAGAGCCAGCGCTCAATAATGTAGGTTGTGAACAACCACCATGACCACTAAGGCACTTTACACAGTGCAAAGCACTTTACACAGATTATCTCAACAACCCCTGAATTGGATGGTCTTCTCCACATTTACTGAGGAAGAAATGGAGACTCAGGAAGGTCAAGTGACTTACCCAAGATCCCAGACTTACAATGCCAGAGCCATGGCTCTAAGCCAGATCATCAGATGCCACTCCCCGTGTTGTCATCTGTCCTATTGCCAGGCTCTTGGCTTGGCCCTCACCCCTCCCACCACTGATGCCTTCAGCAGATAGTTTTCTGGTGCCCCATGCTAAATGGGACCCAACATGCAATCAGGTCCTCAACCCTGTAAGTGACATATAAAACTCCTTCTGTTGCCAGGCTGTTCTTTCCCTGTAAGTGCTTCTCTCATTACAATCAGCAGCAGCCACCGCCTGTCTCAGTTTATTCTTTCACTTGGAAAACAATTTACTGAGCATCTCCTGTGTGCCAGGCCCTGTGCTTGCCTCAAAGAGCAGCAGACACAGGCGACATTAATGGAGCATTTACGGAGACTGGGCCCTGTACTGTATGCTGTGCATTAACTCATTTAGTCCTTCACAACAACTATATGAGGTAAATGCTGTTATGTTCCTCATTTTACAGATGAGGACACTGAGGCTTAGAAAGATTAAGTAACCTGTCCTAGGTCATGAAGCTAGAAACTGAGAGAGCTAAGGTCTGAGCCCAGCTTGGACTCTGGAGTTCACCTTCATTGCCCCAGTGCTATTCTCCCTGGGGAGGCTAGGCTGAGGCATCTGGAGAGACCTTGGTATGAGTCTGTGGGGCCCAAGCCTAGTCCTGCAGAGCCAAGAGCAACCAGCCAGGCAAGGAGGACAGTAGGGGACATTCCCAGGCAGAAGGAGCAGCTCAGACAAGGGCACAGGAAGCAAGTCTGGCAGGAGAGGATAGGACCAGGAGGGGATTAGCAGACAGAGAGGCTGAAGAGGGAGCAGGTCAGGTCCCAGGCTCCTCCCTGAGTCTGTGAAGCTGAGGTGGAGACTGGCTCCCAGCTGTGTTATCACAGGACAGGCAGGCTCTCTGGAGATTATAAAGCTGGTGTCACCCAGTCTTCACCCTCTGGTGTGCCAGCTTCTAGGTGCCCTGGTAGGGCCTCCGCAGGGATGGCCTCTCAGCATGTAAATGATTGCAGAAATACCCAGCAGCAGGGTGGAGTGAGATAGTTTTAGCTGAGCTCCTTAACTGCTCTGGGCTTCAGTTCCTTTTTTTTTTTTAAGATTTACTTATTTGGGAGGGAGAGAGAACACACACACACAAGCGCGGGGTAGGGGTAGAGAGAGGGGAGAGAGAGAGAGAGAGAATCCCGAGCAGAGTCCCCACTGACCACGGAGCCTGACAAGGGGCTCCATCCCACAACCCTGGGACCAAGACTGGATCCAAAACCAAGAGTCAAACGCTTAACCAGTTGAGCCACCCAGACACGCCTGGGCCTCAGTTTCTAAAAAAGAAACGCGGCAACCATCATAGCTTCCTTATAGACTTGTGGGAATTAACTGCTTAAAACAGAACCTGGTTCAAAATGTGTTTTCTTTCCTTTCTTGACTCCTGCTTCTGCCTAAATTCCTTCAGCAGAGGAGAAAAGCCTGAACAGACTCAGAGAATGTTTGTGACTAACAGAGTCCTAGGTCCTTTGGCACTAATGCCGTGAATGCGGGGAGCACCGGACATCCATGTAGGGTACTTAGTCCACGCCCCCTGATGTTCTGGTTGTTCTCTCATCAGATTTACACCATCATTTTTGCGTTTGGGAACCTGGAATGTGGTGATGTTCGTGACCTATGAGCAGCTGAAACGGGCCTTGATGAAAGTCCAGATCCTACGGGAATCTCCATTCTGAATAAAGCAGGGCCACTTAGTACTGAATTGGAACAAGAACCAGTGGGTCCCACACAAACCCACACATGTTTACACAACTGGTTTACTTGCTGCTGAGTCAAGAAATAGAAGCAGAGAAAGGATTCTGGTCTTCAGTGCTTTGTCTTAAGAACACATTTGTTTTGTACGGACAAGTTGGAAATTAAATTATATTAATTTGGGGGACCCATGATGTTGGATGCCTAACATTTAGGCAAGAGAAAATAAACCAAAACATCCATTTGGATAAAACAAAAGTCTGCAAACCTATGTTCTGTAAAAAAAAAAAAAAAAATCTAATGAGATGATGAATTGTAAACAGAAAAGACTGCAAGCATGAGACAGCAGTGGCACAGGACGCCTGGAAATCAGCTAAAGAGTGTGGAGGTATGCTACCGAAACAACACAGCTGTGACTGTAGCCTTTGGTTAACCGTGGATCATCAGCCATATGTGTAATGTGCCTGCCACTTAGAAGCCACTGGGATTCTAGAAAATAGGAGACCAAAAAAAAAAAAAGGAGAGAGAGAGAATGAGAAAACCTGGAACCTGTGCCAAAAGAACACTGCTGGGCCAGCATGAGGCTGAGATTCGTAACTGTTCCCTGATGACGCTGCAGAATCAAGAGGGCAGACCTCATCTTCTTTCCCGTAAAATGGGAGTAATAAGCCCTTCCCTCCTCTCTCACCAGGGATGTTATGAGGATCAGGTGACAGGGTGGACACGAAAGCACTTTATAAAAGCGGAAGCTCTGATATTTACAAGTTCTTGGAAAAGATATTCTCAGGACAGTAAAGAACTGCCAGGGAAGTTTGTAAGGTTGAAAGGTTGTCTAGAGGTTAGACCAAAGGAGCCAGGGGCTGGGGGGCCAGGGGTGACAGAATGGTGTGCACTCATGGAAGGCCCACTCCCACACAGCCCTGGCTTCCCAGCAGGACCGTAAGACCTCTGAAGGGTGCCGGGCTTGCAGAAAAAGAGGTAGATGTCAGGCTGACAGCCTAAAGTAGCAGGGCTCAGAGTTCTTTGCGAAATTATTATAATTCAATAAAGGGTGTGGGAATGAGAACAGCTATGTCTTTTTTGCCTTCTCTTTCTTGGACAGAATGTCCCTTTCTCACCAGGTTTCCTGTTTGCCAGCACTGGGCCTTTGTGACATTAATAACAGTACTGGGTTCAAATGTCCCCTCCCCTCATCTTACCAGAAACCTAACCACCAGGAATCCTAATACCTCACTGTCCTAGCAGAGAAGTAGAAATAACAATCCCCCACCTTTGCAGAAGTGCTCAGCAACGTCATCTCTCCCTCCCCACTCTGACACTGCTGCATCCCAGGAGGGGAAAAGCAAATGTCCACTTACCTTTAGCACTTTCCTAAATTTATTTATTTATTTATTTATTTATTTTTAAAGATTTTATTTATTTATTTGACAGACAGAGATCACAAGTAGACAGAGAGGCAGGCAGAGAGAGAGAAGGAAGCAGGCTCCCTGCTGAGCAGAGAGCCCAATGTGGGACTCGATCCCAGGACCCTGAGATCATGACCTGAGCCGAAGGCAGCGGCTTAACCCACTGAGCCACCCAGGCGCCCAGCACTTTCCTAAATTTAAATTATAATTTGAGATTATCAACATGTATAAACTGGAAAGTTCAAATAAAAGCAAAAAAAAAAAAAAGAAAGATTATTTCTATTTAATATCTGGTTTGATTTTCAAATAAAACCCATATTTAAGGGATGCCTGGGTGGCTCAGTTGGTTAAGCAGCTGCCTTCGGCTCAGGTCATGATCCCAGCGTCCTGGGATCGAGTCCCACATCGGGCTCCTTGAGTCACCCCCTCCTTTGAGTCACTTCTTGGGGCTTCCCTCCCCTCTGACATTGGTCCAACCGATCTTGCACTAGTTACTTGTGGGTGTGTCTGATGACCCCACGAGACTCCTTGAGATCTCCTTGTCGGCAAATCTCACAACTGTTTTTGCTCATCCCCAGATTTCCTGGAATGACAAGCACAGAACCTAGCATGACATGGGTCCTATGGAGCCCACCAGCCATGGCAAGGACACTGGACTTTTTCTGAATAAGTGCTCCTCCCTGCTCCTTCTCTCTCTCTAATAAATAAATTAAAATATTTTAAAATAAATAAATAAATAATAAAAGTATCCCATTCCTCCGGGCATGATTTAAGAGTTGTCCTACCACACTATGACCCAGGCTTCCAGACTGGAATCCAGTGGCTGGTGAGTTCCAACCTCAGACCTTCCTCCTCCATCCCACCTCTCTAATTCCCTAGTTAATTCAACACCTATCAGCAAGCTCCTTGAAGGTCAGGGCCAAACCTGCTTCATTCCGTATCTTTCCTTCCGTAGCACCTACTATAGTGGTCAAGAAATACCTGATCATTAAGATAATCACTTACACTTTAGCATGAATTAGAACATTAGTTTCTTCTCAAGAACAGGCTTGGTTAGGGAAAGGTGGCAGCAAGCATAAGAGTGAAGGTGCCATGTAGGTTGAGGAGACAGCACAGAGACAACCGGAGTTCTAGATGGCAGTACTGAAAGAAGACTTAGGTTGTCACTTATCTTTTGGCATCCAATTTATCATTGGTGAGCAGGTAATATATTTTTCTCATTTGCCCAAGAGAAGTTAAATGACACACCCAAGTTTCCACCAGCATTAGTAAGCCATGAAGACTCAGCAGCTGCTCAGGTCTCCTCACCCAGGACCAGAGTTTTTATTGCCCCAGAAGGAAAGGGACAAACACTGTGCCTACCTCACAACTCTGTGGCACTGGCCCTGACTCTAGGGGGTGAGGACCCTGAAGAATCCAGGATCCCAGCATACTAGGGGTATGTATGAAATAGGTGCCAGGGGGTGTGACCTGCTAAGAAATGGCATCAGCACCAAAAACCAGATGCCCAGAAGTCCAGGTGATAAGAATGCAGGGCTGCCCATGACAGGCGTGCCAGCTTTCCAAGGTAACCACAGCTAAGCCAGGACCTTCGGATACACTCATGCCCCTGCTCAGCCAGGAGTGGGACAGGTGCAGGCCCAAGTGCACACAGGGAGAGGAGACACATTCTCTTGACCCAAGATGGATCCTCCTCTGTCTGAGAAGCCCATTCTCTTCAGCTGAGAAGGGATGTCCTCAAAGGTGTGAGGGGAAAGGCCTGTCCTGAGCCAGGCAGAGCAGCTGCCACTGTCCCCAACATCAGCAGCAGGACGCTTTACAACCCCATCTCCCTGGGAGACCTGGGAGGCAGAGCAGCAGAGGAGCCCAGGACCAGGCTCCCTCCCTCCTCCAAAGCAGAGCATCAGCCCCAGGAATCCCACAGCTTTGGGAGGAAACACCTCTAGTCCTAGATTAACAATCTTTAGTGACAGAGGAGCTGGGAACGATTTCGCTTTAAGTATAGTAAGAGTATACTCCAGCAGCCTTGCAAAAAAACAAGCTTTCATCCAAGATAAACAACAGTTGAGGTGAGTCACGAGGCACAATCATATTGTTGATTTGGGGAAGAAGGACCTGCAGTGGACAGACTCGGTCGGCTCTCTGTACACTCCAGGGAGCAGCTTGGTGTGGGAGGAAACAGGTTGTAGGATGGAGTCGGAATGAGGTCTGGTCCCTGCCTGGGCCTCAGTTTCCTCCTCTAAAGGATGAAGATCCACCTGGTTAGTGGAAAAAGGAGGGGGTAGGAGAGGGCCGCAAGAAAAACGGAATGGGAAAGTGAGCTGTTCTTATAAGCCAAATCCAGACAGCTAAACATAGCAAAGCCCAGGCTTTTCTCTAACTAAAGCTTCTCCCAGTGCTGAAAGGAGCCTGGGGACAGGTCTGGATGGCCCAAGTTCCATCTGCCTCCTCTGGCCTGTCTCTGGCAGCCTCCTCCCTGCACTAAAGCTCAGGACTGCAAAGCGGCCTCTCTCCTTGGACCTCTCTCCTCTCTTCTCTCTCCTGGGCCCCGGAGGGACCAGGCAGAACCTTCTGGGACCATGGTTGGACTAAAGCCTTCAGAGGTACCTCCCACCACAGCTGTGAAATTCCTGGGGGCAGGCACAGCAGCCTGTTTTGCTGATCTCCTCACCTTTCCACTGGACACAGCCAAGGTTCGCCTGCAGGTAAGTACTTTTTGGCAAGGGTCGTTGCTCAGATCAAAGGCAGGACTGAGTTCTCCACTCCAGCACCTCTAGCGTGTGCCAGCCTGCTCGTCCTCAAAGAACCCTGCTTACAATCCTGCGCCACCATCGTCCGAGACAAAAAAATCGTAGGTCCTTGGGCCCTTCCTGGCCTCACCTGACTTCGTAAACCATGGAGTGTGAAGGAAAAGTAACTGTGTGACCTTGGGCAAACCACTGACCACTTGTTGTGGGGAAAACAATCTGCCCTCCATGTGCTCTGAGGGCTGAGCACCACACCACGGGTCACAGTTTAGGAACAATGCGGCTAGGGGCACACACCTTGTTTTCACGAGGATGTGGCGGCTCCAATCGTGCTCGCGCTCGAGAACCAGCCCCGGGCAGGCCCCTCTGCACACGGCCCCATCCACCCCGCTCCCAGCTCCTCACCCTCTGCTGGGCCGTTCCTCAGATCCAGGGGGAGAAGCAGGCGACCCAGGCAGCCCAGAGACCCCAGTACCGCGGCGTACTGGGCACCATCCTGACCATGGTGCGCACCGAGGGCCCCCGCAGCCCCTACAACGGGCTGGTCGCCGGCCTGCAGCGCCAGATGAGCTTCGCCTCCATCCGCATCGGCCTTTACGACTCTGTCAAGCAGTTCTACACCCCCAAGGGATCCGACCGTGAGTGCCTGGCATCCCAGAGACACGGAGGGGGTAGGCAGAAGCAGGCTCTAGGCTAGCGGGTCAGGGATGCAGGTGGTGCGGACTCAGAGGCAGGGCTGGGCCGCTGAAGGCTGGAGACAGTCACGAGGAGACAGAGCCACAGTAGAGACCCCGAGCCTGGGAGAAGAGGCAGGCATCAGGCAGGGGCAGCCCCACAGAGAAGAGCGTCCAGCCCGGAGGAGCACTGGCTGGCCGAACGCCGACCCCCTCTCTCTCCTCCTCTCCAGACTCGAGCATCACTACCCGGATTTTGGCAGGTTGCACCACTGGGGCCATGGCGGTATCATGTGCCCAGCCCACGGATGTGGTGAAGGTCCGGTTTCAGGCCAGCATACACCTTGGGGCCGGGAGCAACAGGAAATACAGTGGGACAATGGACGCCTACAGGACCATCGCCAGGGAGGAAGGGCTCAGGGGCCTATGGAAAGGTAGGTCTGGACTCCAGGCTCAGAGGGCCCAGGGTAGAGCATGCCTTACCCTGAGTTAGGGCGGAGAACCGAGCAAGGAGGGAACTCCCAGCATGGTATAGTCCGGTGATCCTGCAAGAACATCCCAACCAAAACTCTCACACTGACCTGCCACAGTGCCCGAGTTCAATTCAATTTGGCAACCCTTCAGCATGTGCAGGTTGCTGTGAGGGAGACATAAAGGAATGGAAGATACCTTCCCTACCCTCATGGCTCTCGCAGACGGAGAGGGAGGAGACATGTCAAGGAGCAGCCATTCCACAGGGTAGGACGTGCAAAGGTCACATAGAGGTACACAGCCAGAGGCAAGGGAGGCCGTGCAGACTCCAAGGTCGGGGGGGAAGGCGACACGGAAGCTGGGCCTCAAGGCTCAGTGGGCTCTAGGTGTGTGGAGATGGAAGGGGAGGGCTTCCCCAGCAAAGTTCTCTCAGGGGTAATGACTATAGACATAGGACCGTAGGACTACAGGACTCAGAGAAGAAACAGAGGCCAGTGGAGGAGGCAGCTGTGAGTTGTCGGGTGCAAGGAGATTCAATGAGGAGGGGGTTTCCTCAAGAGTAAGGCTTCCGGGGTCCCTATGTGTCCCCGTGGAGGCCACCGTGACAAATGCTGGAATCTCTCCCACATGTGGACCAAGGATCACACCAATCCTTGCAGAAGAGAGAGTGACCCAGTGAAGGTTAAGCACAGGACCCCTGGGTCACAGCTTGATTTGCTCTGCACTCTCCCCAAGTCCAGCCCTCATCTGTGATATCAGTGGCTGGGTCTTGATGCTCTCCTAGGGCCTCCCAGTGCTACTTCCTGTCACTGCTCCAAGAGTCTTGGAGCTCTTGGAAAGAAGAAAGGCTTCCTTGCCTGACTTTAG